ACATGGTAATGTGCGCCCCGCCACTCAGGGTGGCCGTGGTACGCTGCTGTTGCTTGCTGTGATCATTGCAGTGCACCGACGAGGCCTTGGCCATGTACTGGCCCCCACCCGACGACTGATGATTGGTGGCATCGGGCAGGAATTGACCAAATTCTCGCAACAGATCCTCATCCTGGCCAAACAGCTTGGCCACCTGTGTGTAGACCTCCTGTTCGGTGAGCATTTTGCCCTGATTCAAGCTGCCCTCCTTCATGACCTTCTGCTCCTTCTGATACGCATGGAGAATCTCCAGGAATTTCTTGTACTTGGCCGGCTGGTTTTGGAAACGATTCTAAACGGGATGGAAATACACAGATTAGCAAACGATTTCGACTATTCTCTTGGTCTGTTCTCTCTCACCTTTATCTTATTTACATAGGTTATGGCGTGATTGAACTCTACGGGCTGATTCTGCTGCCCCGTTTCGCCCAGGAGTATCGACTGATGCGCCTGCTGTATGTGATGCAGATTGTGCTGCTGGGCACCCGCTCCTCCACCAGCGCCTGCTCCTGCACCACCGTGTGGACTTAGTTCACTCAAGGAATTCGGAGTGGGCGGACCACCGCCCACAACAATACTGCTGGCTGCTGCAGGAGCCGCCGCACCCACCACCTGACCGGTTGGTGTGATTGTGGCCCGCTCTCGATCCCGCGAGTAATTCTGTGGCATGTTGTGCGCCGACACGGAGATACCCCCCGGCGGCTGACCTCCTCCAGGCACGGCCACAACGGCTGGCGCCGGCGAGCTGGTCACGCTCACATGGACATGCCCCGGGGACTGAGACTGCGGTGGCGTGGCCTGCTGCAGGGCATGAATCGTGGTCTGGGTGAGCGATGCACCGCCATGGGTCATCAGATTGACGGCGCCTGCCGATTGGATTTGTGCAACGGCTGCCGCAGCGGCAGCTCCACTTCCTGCTCCTACTCCGGCGGCAGTCAAGGTGGTCTTCAAGTTATGTCCGGCACTGGCCAAGGGGCTGCCGGCTATCATATGCACAGTCCCAGTGCTGGTGGGTGCGCCGGGGGGCGAGGGCATTGATACCACCGGCACCGAGCAGCCGAGGGCGTCGGAATGGATCTCAATCTTGTAGCCAGGCGGCAGGAACATATTGAAGCCATAGATCAACTCCGTGTGCCCCTTGAAGAGCGTCGAGACGCGCTCAATCACCCCCGGGGTGTCGATGCAGTGCGACTTGAACTCCTTCATGATGTCGAGGAAGTTGTTGTAAATCTGCGGCTGGTCCGCATACTGGTACTTCACCTGATCCAGATAGCTGAGGGCATCCTCCACCTTAAGTCGTGGCGTGGCATTTCCGCCACCAGACCCCTGTCCCTGCGGTGGGGTACTGCTTCCTCCCGCCGCCACAGCAGCAGCAGCAACAGCAGCAGCCGGCGGTGTCTGGGCCGTCTGGGGCAGACTGCCAGGCGTCTGTTGTTGCTGCGCCATCGATGTGAGATTGCTGACGGCACTGGCCGCGGTCTGTGTGCCGCTTATTGTACGCTGCCGTATGGTGCTGCTTGCCGTCTGCGAGCTGCTCGAGACTGTCTGGGCGATGGATGGGTTAGCGGATCCTCCTACCATTCCTCCTCCTGTCACATGAATCTGCACGGTATTGGCACCGTCCACCGTTGTGCTCCCCTTGAGAGTTCCTCCAGCCTGAATGGAGGCCACGCTGTAGGCTGCAAGTGAAAGGAATGCTTTCAGTAATGTCTAGAAATGTACAAGAATCACAGAAATACTCACATGTGGTATACTGCAGTGTTTGTGTGCCCGCGCTGCCGGTGGATACAACCACTCCTCCTCCTGCAGCACCAGTTCCTCCAACTGTTCCCACTCCTACAGTGGCCACCTGGGCTCCTGCTGCTCCTGTGCTCGTGCTGGTGCTGATGCTGCTGCTGCTGCCGCTGGTGGTGCTGTCAACAATTGAGCTCGTTGTTTTTAGATTTGTTGCCGTCGGCGTGGTGGACGGCAGATAGGCTATGGTCTGGGCACCGCCATGCTGTGGGGTGAGGATGCGATGGTGTATGGAACTGATGCCGCTAATGGTGGCACTGTGCGCACTTGGTACCACAGTGCCGATTGTTACGCCTGTGTTTACGCCCACGGTGGCGGAGCCACCGCCGCTGACACTGACGCCGGAAGTGGGACCCACGCCAACGCCAACGCCAGTAACGCCAACTCCGACACCGACAACGCCCGGAGCTGGTGGGCCGGGACGTGTCCCGAACTGCACCTCGTCGACACGGGTGCGTTTCATCATCTTGTCGTTTCTTGTCTGTCTGTTTGCTTCTCCTTCTGGGCGGCTCTTCCCCTTTGACGCCGTTTTGGTGGTCCGGTCCGGTCCCTGGCTAAGCACAGGGATGCTGGATACTGCTGGGATATTGGGTGGTGTTCCCTCTCTCGCCCTCTCGCCGCTCTCTATGAGCGTATATAGTACGCAACAAACGGTCGTGGTCGCAACTGCTTTGACTGCGGCTCTTGATCTTGAACTGCTCGTAAGTGCAACATATGTTGTCTATGCATTTGGTCGCACGCTAGCGGCAAATGCCCTGAGGTTCTGTAATCGAGAGATTGACAACGACGGCGACTGCAACGACGACGACGATGCTGATGCTGCGGCTGCTACTACTCCAGTGTTTCTCTTTGCTTATGCCACGTCGTGCGTGGTCTCTCCAGCTCTGCTGCTATTTGTATCTTAAGGTACGCCAACTGCAAGCAAAACGAATGGAATCAATTGTTAAATTAATTTGTTAGCGGAAGAAATATGCCAATAAGAAATCCCCAATTTCACATTTTCCCATTTCAACGAAATATTTTCGAACAAACATTTTTTAGTTTGCGAACAGCACGAAATTCTTTTGCCATATCGCAAAAAAAAAAAAACACACTTTAGTCGTAGAACATTTGTTCCTTTGTATTGGGTTCCGTGTTTGATAGAGAGAGCCCACCGCTGCCGCCCCGAGAGGGAGGGGGCAATAACAATACGAGTATATAGAAGGAGAGTTGCCAACGCTCTCTTCTTGGGCATATATGTACATGTACACACACAAGCAAATACTATACATACGTGCAACCGGAATTGGGCGCGCGCTTTGTTATTGGTAATAGCGGGTACAGTAAAGACTTCCTAAGCAAGCTTTTCATTTCATACACATTTTGAATTGCTTGTGTTGGCGCATGGAAGGTGCCAAATGTCCCATGCACGACCTCAGCTTGCATAGAATCCACTGAGAAAAACACACACACTCTCTCAGACAGAGCATATCTATATATGTATATGTACATTCCATGGGGGAGGGGAGGGAGCGGGGCTTGCTGGTATACATTCTGTATCTACTACAGCTTACAAGAGCCAGGCAAAGGCAAAGGCAAAGGCTGCAGCAATCCTCAAATGCAAAGGTGGTGGCGGCGGTGCTCGCTGCAGCCATATTAGCGTGCGAGAGAGAGAGGGAGAGAGGTAAAGAGAGCGACCGTCAGCAGGAGAGAGGAGAGCGCAAATTTGTTGTTGAGGCGCAGTAGATGGCAGATTTTTTCAAAAGGTATTTTTCACCCGTTTGGGGCCAGCAACAACCCGTCACTCACTCACACACACACACACAGCACACACATCAAGTATTTGGCGGGCATTCGAGAGAGAGAGAGCAAAGTTGCGCGGCGCACAGCAGTGGGAATGGAACTTCAAAGAGAGTGGTTCAGTGTAAATATAACTTGAATGAAAGTGTATTTGTGCGCGGGCTTCTGCTGGCGGGAGTCAAATCGAAACCGCCTTGACTTGAAGATCATCATATGCCACCAGCACACCACCTCCGCTGTGCATCTTGATTGGGCCACCCCATCACCCACCCACCCAATGCGAACCCCCAGTTGGTTGCCTCAGCGTTTGTAAACAAATATTGAAACCCTGTACAGCCGCACAAAAGCTCCGAAGCTTCCCTCTCTCACAAGTCCTTTAGATATTAGCACGGCGAAAAAAGCCAGTTGGTTTGTATGCGTTTCCTCCGTTCCTCCTATATCTTACACTCTCTCAATTACCGTGTGGCACTTTTTGTTATTGTATTTTTTGGATCCGCCATCATCGGCATTGCCAGTGCATACCAAACATACATACACATGTCATGTACGTATGTATGAGCTGCGTGTGCCTCTGAGCGCGCATAGTGGAAGAGCTCTGGGCTCCAACGCAAAATTGGGGCGTTCATGGCAGCTGAATGTGTTTGTGTGTGTGTGCGACTGTGTTGCTGTGTGCTTGGGGGAGACATGTGGGCAAAATTTTCCCTCCATTTTTTTTGTTCTCGTTCTGCTGCTCTATTACGTGCACACGAACATTATCTTATCTGTTTTGTTAAGTGTATACATAGCACAGAATACGCAGCACAAAGTAGACGGGCAAGAAATATGCAAAAATTGTTAATCACTTATTTTCTTTGCAGTGTCTGGCATCACAACAATCTCTAAATCTTGATTCATTTTCTCTTATTTATCGGACAGGGGAGTGGAGACACCGTTATTAGTAGTTTTTAATGCACGAATTAATATTTTATTTAGATTTTGTGTTACTTTCTCACTTACACACACATACACACGAACACACTCAACACAGACGCACTACCGCTGCGCTATTAATAAGTTTCGCAAATAAAACATATGGATGTTGAGAGAAATATGTACAAAATAGCTAAGGCATATACTATACTACTCGTACTATAGTCATAGAAGAAAGCTGTGTAAAATTGAAAGAGCCGAAACGAAATGAGAAAACGAACCAAGAACAACAAACAAGAACAAGAAAAGGCAGACGGACTGGTGTGAAGAGGAAGAGCCCAAGATGTGAATAAGAAGGAGAGCCTGAAGCAAAAAATGATGCTCTCATTGTGTGTGGTGGCGGCGCTCCGTGGAGCTCCGTGGGCCGGGGCTGGGGCCAGCCAGCCAGCCAGCGCCAGCGGGTTATATTATTCAGTGTTGGGAGCCATTTAAATGTACGAGCACACACACACTACATGCGAATGGCGCATCAAAGCAAAAGTCAAGATAAGCGCACGAACTGAGAGGGAACGAATCAACGAACGAAAATAAAACGACACTACGTTGAAAAAATACAGTCAGTTCATAAGCAAGCCAAAAGCAATGGTTAAAACTTGTGTATGTGTTGTGTCTGTGCGACGCTCTCCTCCGCCCATGTGTGTGTGTGCATGTGAATTGCTGTGCGTGAGTGTGAGCAGCAGCACAAACAACAACCACGTCGCAGTCGTCGACGACTTTTTGTCTGTGCGCTTTATACATGTATTCGGTTTCTCTATCCCACTGAGCGTGTGTGTGTGTATATAAACCAATTGAAATTGACCTAACCTAAAAATGTTGTATTTTTCACAAGTTTTAGCTGCTCGTTTGCCACTACCAAAAGTTGTTTGATTTCACCAAGTGCACTTGAAGGATATTTCATATTCATGATTTTGCGGACCGCCCCACCTCCCCCGCGCCTCTTTCAACTTACATCAGCAACGGCTGGGCTTCTCATTTGCTTCGGCTGTGTATATACTCGAAAGATGTACATATGCGTGTGTGTGTGTGCCTTTATATTTACTATAAACTGCCATTTGGTTGGGCTTGTTATTGGAAACTTTCACGTTTTACGCTGTATTTTGCACTTGCAACTATTTCCCACACGTTTTTACCAATTTTCACCTTTTTCTTTCGCCAAAATATAGTTTTTCTGTATAATCGAGACTTGAAATATCGCTGGGACCGTTTTTATTCAATTTTTTTTTTGTCACAACGAATTCTTTTTTGTTTTACCGCGTTTGTACTATTCTGTTTCGTTTAAATAATTGTTTCTCTGTGAGTTTTTACAGATATTCACACAGTTTAAGCGAGGAAACGTTTTTCGTACATCTTAACGCCGCCGCAAACATTTTCGATTGAACGGCCAGCAGTTCGTCGGTTAGCCTGCTGCTTGCGACGGGCAGAGAGAGAGAGGTGGCCTATGTATGCGTGTCTGTGCGTAAGTGTGTTGGTGCGAAGAAGCAACAAAAGAGCGCGAGAGAACATAAAGTCGCAACAGAGAGAGAGAGAGCCCCAGAGCGGAATAGAGGGAGTGTAAATGCGCGCGCGCAGTGTTGCTTTGGAATTCATTTGCCGTCCCGTCGCTTCTGTTGCTGCCCATGAACATATCAAATAGGGTGGCAACGCAGCAAACCACGGACTCGGGCGCGCATTAAAAATGAGAAACATTGCTGTTGCTGCTGCTGCTGTTGCTTGAGATGTGAGAGGCAATAAAAAAGTACATAACAGATGCCCATGTACTTGGGACACACACATATCTGACCGCCTGGGTTCTAAACTGCAATCTCTTTCAGTGGAACCGTGTGCGAGTGGAAGGAAGTTTGCTCCATGCTCTTGCATGCTAATGGCCTCTGGGGTCTTCGGTCTACAGTCCAGCGATTGGGGCGAAATAAATTGAGGAAAGAAAAGATCGTCGTGAGCAGCAGCAAATGAGAAAAATGGCGCTTAGAATTTGGATAAGTAACAACTGCTCAGAGAGTCGAGTCGGATGACTGGGAGATTACGTAAGTGCAAAAAGCACCAACACAGTTACGGTGCGAAAGAGCCGGCACGAGAGCTTGCAAAACAAGTCGGATACAGGGTGTCCGCATTGGCAACGTGACGCGAGCAACAATGCCATGGCAACATTACCAGTCGATACCCTGTTTTGGGTCGAGAAGAGCGAGAAAAAGAGCGAAACCCATACACTGAATAATGTGTGCTGTATATAAACGGCGGCGGTGGCGACGTCGGCGTCGATACTCTTGCAGTACATAATGAAATCGACAAAACTGAAAATCAGAAACCAAACAGACTACAGAGCAGGCTACAACTCTGCCACGGTTACACTTTGCGGCGGCAGTGGCGGCGGCACATATACACCTACTACAATCCACAACCTCCACCACCTCGCTCACGCACACAGGGACTCACAAAACGCACACTCTCGTACTCGTGGCCGTGTGGCTTGTCTGTGTGTGTGTTGTGTGTAACGTAGAAAGGCAGCAAAGTGCATCTCACCATGACAATGGCGGTAGAGCCGCAGGGGAACCGTCGTCGATGGCCACCAGAGCATACTCTTCCCGTCGCCAAACCCAAAAAACACATGCTGGAATCTCAAATTGTTTCTGGAAGAAGCAGGCAAAAATCAAATCTGTACACGCGAAAAATCTGGCGTGGGGTGGTGGAAATGGAAACCTTGCAATTATCGATTATTTCGCTCATTGCGCAATGCAGACCGGACGGACCCACAAGAGAGAGAGAGAGAGTTTAAGGGAGCGCTCTCCGCCCTCTACGGCACCTTAGCACCTGCTATGCGGGAACGCACAGCTACTGTCGATGGCTAATGCAAATCAAGTGCATCCAAAACTTGGAGCAGCAACACGAAGCTCCTCTCGTCAGTAGACTGAAAGTTCAAAGTTCACTTGCAGCTTGTGCAGCGCATGTCTAGGCCGAAGCCTGCAATCTCCCCCCTCTGATGATTGCAGTTCAACATCCCTTGGAGCAAAAGGGACAACCACACCTCTGTGTGCCGCCCACGCGCTAGATTGTGATTGCGGTTCCAGTGCTGCGGGAAGGTTTGTTTGCCTTTCCAGGTATTATTGATGTTCCCGACATACGTATATAGTACATATATGCCGAAACATCAGTCTGATGCCAGGTGGTTCCGTGCTTTCTAATTATCCGTGTGCTAATTTTAGGCCTTCGATGGAGTATGGCCACATGCCGACGACCAGGCCGAATCCCCTCGGCGAAACAGTACCAGAAGAAACGACGCAGTCATTAAATGCTCCACCAACAACAACAGGCAGAGCTGACCAAAACGGGCGCACATTTTATCAGGCGAAAAGATATACACGTGAATGCATATGATATGTAATAGGTGGCCCCACAGTTTCTAATTTCATGTGTGGTCAGCCAATTACCAAATATTTTCAGTTTGTCACTTGAGCAGATAGCTTTTTGGATGCCAAAAACACCATTAAAACAGAAGAAGGGAGCTGATGATTATAAGTAAATTAACAAGACAGCTTTAAAAATATGCAGACAACAATAAGTTCAAACGCTCTTAGTGGAAGATACTGCTACTACTATTTGTTTAAAAAATGTAACCATGACAATATTGAGCACCACCGAACCGTAACTGAAAATGTAAGAAATTGTTGAACGTCTAATACATGTACTCGTAGAATGAGTCTCCAACATCAAGTTCAAGACTTGTTCGATGGCCTCTGGCAAATTGCATGCAATCGTCTGCGCGGCAAGTGCTTCACGCTCCAAGCTGAGAGGGCAGAGATCGCGTCGAGACCACCAATCTAGGCCCAGAGACCATACCAGAGACCCAGGCATCTAAAACAAATACTGAGAAATGTAGTGTGTGCGAGTGTGTTTGCTCGTGTGAGTGCTGTGTGCGGTGGAGAGTTCAAAAATGAAGTGCGCCGACTGGGAACTTGTTTTTCAAGTTTCCAAACAGCCGAAAGCCCAAACCAGACTCGGACGTAGTCGAAACTTGACGCGCTTCATAAAGAAAATTGGGGGAAAACGTCTTGTGATGGCCGCAAAGAAAGCACAAAAGAATGCATTTATACGAGTGTGTAGCTGTGTGTATCTCTCTCTCAATCAGCAGAGCAGTAAGCTCGATTTCAACGAATTATTTAATTAGAATTTACACAAAATCCCCGACCAACCGAAGGCTAAGCACAGTGTGGATCACCTTGTAGCCAGACACAACCACACACACAGATGCACGAATATATGTAGCTGGGAGAAGCTGCCAACTTGTTTTTATATTCTTATTCAACTTTTGGCTATTAATTTTTGATTATCTTGACAGGTTGATATCAGGAGGCATCATATAAATATAGTTATGTTAAATAAAATTTTTAACTAGTTGGCAGTCCTAGTTTAGTTGCTACAATAACAAAAGTTGAGCGCGGTAAACGCTCTGCCTCTGTGTGTGCGCCTATGTCTGCTGCCTATATTCAACATCTTCCTTCCCTTTTTATTTGTATTTACTGAATGGCATTGTTTTTTTTTTTAATTTTATTAAATCAAAGACAATTAAAAATGACTACACACACATACACACGTGCCAGCAGATTGCGGAACTTTAATTTACCTACACATACAGACGTTTCACGAAACGAACAAAAAAACAAGCCGATAAGAAATATTTCCACAATACAGACAGCACTGCCTCAGCATTATTAACAATTGTAACTGTTATTTGCTCGGTTCATCAGCAATTTATCGGTAAATCTTGTCATTGATAAAGGAAATTCCACTTTCTAACCTCAAAGCAAAGAAACTGCTGGGAGTGGGGTAGACAAAATTTTGTACGCTCCATTCACATCTCTCAGAAAAGCCTACTACAGCGAATGTATTATTTTTAAATATTTAATGCCCACTGGAGTTTCCGTTTGCCGCCTATCGTAATCAGTTGGGGCTAATTGAGGTTAGATATGAACTTCTGGCACACACAAACACATGCAGAACACACACGCACACAAGGGCGCGCATTTTTATATTTTTAGTTTACATACCTGAATAGTTTTAAGGCTGATATTAACACAGGTTGAGGTTCTTTTATTTGTTTCACTCTTTTGCAATCAGCCAACAGATCGGGCTTATAGTAGATTTACAGCTTTTATCAACTATTACATTCAGCTGATGGCCCTGAGGGTAGGATGGCAGGAGGTAGGGTAGGGGAAAAGAAGCGCGTGAGCTTGCTGCTTCTTCACATTTGCAACAAAGATACACATGCATGTACACTCGCCACAAACACCCACACCCCTCACAAAAATGCACTCCGAATCGATTTTATGCTGCCCCAAAACAGCCAAGACTCTCCTCCTTCTTTATTGTATGCAACGCACATAAACTACACCACACTCGTGCTTCAGTTTTTTGTAATTGGTTTTTCATAAACTCGCGTCTACCACATATGCATATGTATGTATGTAATCATGTATGGTTTGCGGCCCATGTGTCCAGATTTTACATTTGCCGAGAGGATATCTTTTCGCGCGCTGTATACCTAGAGTGCGAATTTTTTATGTTACTTTTCGATTTAATTATTTTGTCAACAACAACACAAGTACAGTATATTTGATACAGTATGCTAGGCAGTGTGACCGCGGATTTGTCCATTGAAAGTACGGTCTGGTCTTCAGAAAAATACCGTAAATATACCGGTGAACTATTTGTATTCGAATTCCATCATATTCATTGCTTTTGATATTCGGTTGAATATTACTGGCCAGCTAGGACCCTCAGACCTGCATTCATAATTTTATTCGATTGGCGAATCACTTTCTTAGAAGACTGGTTTAATTTAAGTTCTAATCACGATTCAATTATTTGTACAGTAAGGTTTAAAGTCAACAACAATTTCCACAAAATGAATTTTTGTACATGGTAACTACACCATAACTACACATTTACTACATATTAACTACATTTAATTTTAGCTATGTCTCTCAATAGCATTTCTACACGCTTTCTACATTGGTGGGTGGGTTTATAACGCGTCTGAAAATATACTAAAAAATACTATGAAAAGTAAAAAATGTTAGGTATTTTAGGGTGCTGCCAGACCGATGTTAAATTTTCCCGCTCAAAACTATCGAAGGTGGGCTAATTTTTTAACCATCGATAGTATTGATTTTTCCCCGCAAAACAGTATGCCCGTAGCTTGTGGCTTATTGGTCAAACCTTAATTCAAAAGAAAGATCGTAAAAAGCAAGATGTACGCGTTCGAGAGCTCGAGTAATTCCAATTGAATTTTGTATTTTTTGTGTTGTGCTTACAATAAATTAATTTTAAATAGCTCTGATCCATATTTATTAATCTATAATTGAGTTGTTGCAGCCCTGAAGGAATGCCAACTTATCTTTTGCCTGAAAATCCATATTTAAGACAAGTTGGCGGGGCCACGGCAATGTTATTGAATATTTGTTGTTTTTGATTGTTAATTTCAACAATTTAAACGGTTAACACAAGTATGGCACTCCTGTGATGATATATATTCATTGCAATTGAGTAGCTAACGACAATTCAAGTAAACTGCGACTAGCTAAACAGCATCGTGCCCCGCCTAAAAACAAAATAGCGGATCGTGTGAAAGCGAGAGAGGAAAACGGTAGTTGTGGCGCTCTTTCGCTCTCTCTCTCTCTCTGTGGCCCCAACTGGGGCCCCCACTCATTCTCGTCGCCGTTTGGAGCCAAGTGAATCTGTCGACTACTGCCGCTCTGTGAGTCCCGTTCCGTCTGCAGCAGCGTCAGGTTTGAAAGATTCGTTCGTCGTACACACTCGCCTACGTCTACGTGCCATTTGTTTTTCGAAAAATCTGCATAAATTTGACCGCGTCTGAAACTGCATAAAAATAGCAGAAGCCAGCGCGAAAAACAGCGAGGCGAAAATAAATACATATTTCGGTTTAACAAGTGTGTGGCGCGCGATTGGCTCGTTTATTGTTAATACAGCAGAAACAGGAAATCTGTTGTCGTCGTCGTTGGGTGTTCACTGTGCATTTAAAGTTATCATATTTACGTGTGTGGCCGCTGGTGTGCCAGGCCAGTGCATATAAATATATCTAAAATCCATTTAATTATAAATTAAAAATCCCATCAACTCAACCACACACTGAATGTCCGAGAATAAAGGCATCATGCTGGCCAAATCTGTTCAAAAACACGCTGGACGTGCCAAGGAGAAGGTGAGTGCAAAAAGATGCCCCTTTGAGGGCAGCTCCCAGCTTCAGTTGCAGGCTCAGGTGCAGTTGCAGTTGCAGTTGCAGTTGCAGGTGGCATACGGCGCAGCAACGCCCACGCATGGTGGAAGGTTCCTCTCAAAGTGAACTGCTGCTCCCACCCCCCGCGTGTAATCCTCGTTCCAGCCACAGCCAAAGCCAAAGCCAAAGCCATGTCCCTGCCCCAGTTTCTAGCTGGGTCACCAACACTCACACACACACACACAGGCACAAGCATGGGGCAGGGCTTCTCCATCGATTTCCAGTCATTCTATTTAGATCTCTGCCAAAAGAAATTAGGAAAACACCTCTCCAAAGCGGTAATACACGTAGTACTGGGACCTGCTTTCACTGTAGCTGGGAGACACCTGTCGTGGGACCCAATCCAATCCGTTTAATATCCGATTCCAGTTCTCTGATGATGTTCATCTTAAGTACTCCCTTCCAATACAATCCAATCCCATCCCATCCCATCCAATCGAATCCATTCATGAGATGCGATGCGATGCGATTGTTGCGCTGTTACTTTACTGCCTCTGGACTGGACTCTGTTTCATCTTAACCGCAGATGCGTACAAGTGAAAGTTTTTGTAGTTTTTGTTATTATTATTTTCGCTTCGTGGAGGTTGGGTTGTGTTCGGTTCGGTTTGGTTCGGTTCGTTCGATCCAGCGAAATGTCAATAAAAAGTAGAGGAAAAACAGTGGAGACAGAGGAGCCCAAACAATGTGTAAAAGCTGACCCACTCGATGGGTTTTTGCCAAACAAGTTTACGAGTAGAGTAGATGCCAGCGCATTCCACAGTTCCACAGCGGCAGCCAGAGTCCAGAGAGGTTTGGGTTTGGGTTTGGGTTCGTGTTCGGGTTTGGGTTTGTGGTTTGGGGTTTGGGGTCTGGGGTCTGGGGTCTGAAAAATGTTGTAATCTAGCGCTGAGAAATGCTGCTCTGCTCTACGGATGTGTCTGTGCGAGAGCTGGCATTTAGAGTGGATGGATCTTCAAAGTTCGTTGATATTTCCTCTGCTTCTTCTCTCTTCTGTCCGCTCTTTCTGTGTGCTCTTTTTTCTTTGGGATGCGATCTGCTGCCGCTGCGATGGATGGCTCGTGTTGGTCATTAAACTTGGAACCGAAACATTCCCCAGCTAAATGTCATCTTGAGAATAGAGATATTTTTAAAGTAGCCGATTTAGATTTCTCCCTCTCTCTCTTTCTCCTTTTAAAGTTGATGGCAATCGAATAAATTCACTTGATTCTCTGTGCTGCAGCAGGCGTACCGTACCATTTCCTTTTAGTAAAATTTCATAATTTACGCTCAAATGGGAAATTATTTTTAAAACAAATATCTCGTTCTCTGGGCCGCCGCTGCTCTATTATTTCGCATGGTGTTGTGCTCAATTTTCGGAAAATTTCATGTGATTTTTCACATCGAGATGAGCACGAAAATTGTTTCAGAGAAAACTTGT